TAATCCCCCCCCCATGTTGCCTTGTGGCGCCCCAACGACGGTAACGACTTGGGGGAGAGGAGTCCCGTCGCCGTTGGTTCGGCCGCCCTCGCTCGGGAGCCTTGAGGAGAAGAGAAAGGAGGAGTGCCGGGTAACGGAGGCGGCGGCGGCGGCGTTCGCGGCTGTTGCTGTTTTTTTTTCCTGCGAGGCGCGGAGAGCGCAGAAACAAGCAACCGGAACCAGGGAAACTGCTGGGATTTAATAAGACGGGCTCTGCAGAGGGATAACGTGTGCCTGGAGGCGAGGCAGGGGAAGGAGCGAGAGAGAAGAGGCAGAGGAGCGAAGAGGGGGCGAAAGGACACGTCGGGGGAGGGGGCATTTCTTCAGGGTCTCCTTTGGTAACCTCCGACCTTTTCAGCCTTGGTGGACCGAGAACGGACGAAGCGGGGGGGTCGGTGTTGCTCAGCCCGCAGACTTCGGATCTATCACCTCGGATTTCTTCTTTTTTTTTCTTCCCCTTCCGGTGCTTTGGATTTTTATTGTTTTCCTTTTTCAATTTCAAGGATATCTGTACACGCCAGCCTAGTACACACCTCGTGGCAAACTTGTACGTATTTTCAGTGCTTGTTTCCAAGATCGTAGACGGTAGGGTTGGGTGTCGCTTGTTTCTGTGGACAGTCTTCGTGTGAAAGGCATGAGTTCTAACATACGTGTCTGTGTGCTTGTTTAGTGACGCTTACTGTTATGCGTCATGTTTGCCTTGAATTCCTAAAGAGGTGGATGGGAAAGATTGTGTGTTAGGGTTATATTAAGACTGTTTCCATAAGATGTTTTAAATTACTGTCAGGGATTCTGTATGACGTTGGATCAAAGATCGCTTTTTTCTCAGTAAGGATTACGATTGGTTGGGTTGCTCCTGGCTCATCCTCGGAAGTTGATGTGGTCTCCCACTGTACTGTAGTTTTGGCTTTTGATGAATAAATGAAGATGTTGTGCCTTACTCTTCTTTGTGGGCGTGTGGGTCTAGTTGGATGAGGGGACAGAAAGAATTTCACAATCTTACACTTCACTCTTTCTTTTTCTTACAATGTGAAGATCCCAGATGGCCAATTCCCTCAACGGCCGGAACCCAGGTGGCCGAGGAGGAAACCCCCGCAAAGGACGCATTTTAGGCTTCATTGATGCTATTCAGGATGCAGTTGGCCCCCCCAAGCAAGCAGCTGCTGATCGCAGGACTGTTGAAAAAACTTGGAAATTAATGGATAAAGTGGTGAGTCTGTATATTGTGTTCCAGTGTCAGAAAACGGTTCAGAGTACAGTACTTACTTATGTGCAAGGGAATTTGTACTGTCAGATTAGTTTCTTTGCACAGAAGCTGTAAATATTTTCAGGTTTATAGTAGATCTTCTGTATTTGGCTTTCCACAGCATGGAAAAAGTGAAAAAAAGTGGACTTTTTCTCATTTCTGCATTTTAATGAGTTTTTTAAGTAATCGAGATTTAAAAGGTTATGAATACATAGCTTGTTTCATATGAACCGAATTTTCCTGTGGTTCCACATAAGGTCAGGTTATTGCAACATCTCCTTGAAAATGAAACTTTAGTTAAGGTGAACAAGCGCTTCCAATTACCTTTATGTTAACCATATGCATGCTTCAGTCTGAAGAGTGGATACATTTCTCATTTGACTTATATGAACAAATGGAATTTCAGGATTAGTTCACTGGTCTTTAAAATAAGGTGACATTAACGAACAGTGCTTCAATAATTATTTACTCAGAGAAATAACGTGTACAATATTCTAACGTGAACCAGAACTACTTATTTTGTTACATTTTTCATTAAGAAAGTGAGTGTGTGTTGTTCAGCACAGGACAGATATTGTAATCTCTTTTCTTAATATAGAAAAATATTCTTCATTGCTAAAGTGCCAAGATGATGTTTTTAAAAAACACTAAATGTGCAAAAGTGGACATGGGCTTTATTTGGTGATTCTCTTTTTAATTCTTCAGAATTGAAGTAGCAGCATAAGCTTGCATTAAATTCTTAAGGAAAACATTATTCTTTGCTTACAGTGTGTGTGGGTGTTGATCTACATGCTTCATAGAAATAAGTACTGTAGAGAATGTTAAAGCATGCAACTGTGCAGAGTTTTTGCATCTAAATGTCAATTTTTGTAAGACTGCTAGAATATATTTTTGTCTAGAAATATGTCTCCATGAGGAGGACTTATAAGGCTTGATTTATGTTTAATTTGCAAAAGTAGGCCTTACAGTTACTTATATAGTCTTAACTTTAGAGATCACAGTTAATGTCCAAAGTCCAATAGTGTGTTGCAACTGGAGTAAGCCTGTTGTGAATCAGTACAAATTATTTATTTATTTATTTGATTTATATCCCGCCCATCTGGTCTGGTCGACCACTCTGGGCGGGATATAAATTTGGTAAGTCAGCTCCTCTGTAAGGTCTATTTTTAAATGGGCCTGGTATAATAGTGATTCAGCCATTATGTAGCAGGGATTGTTTTCTGGCCTAGGAGCTGTATCTGGGGTAGATTGGGTGGCAGGTGCCCATATGCAAGTGTAATTTATCCATCTGGACATAACTGTTCCTCATGTGCAAAGTATAGTTCAGTTGTGAGTATGTTCAGAGGTAAGATGTTCGTAGCACCATTGAGAATGTCCTAACCTATGGCATTCTGGCATGGTTTGGGAGTAGCTCTGTAGCGGACATAAAAGCTCTACAGAGAACCATTAAAATTGCCCAGAATATCATCGGGCTCCAGTTACCAACTCTTGATGACATCTTCACATCCCACTGTCTGAGGAAGTCACACAGCATCCTGAGAGACTCTTCCCATCCTGCTTATAACTTTTTTGAACTGTTGCCGTCTGGCAGAAGATATAGAACAATTAAGACTCGGACCACACGTTTTCTGTATAGTTTTTATCCCAGAGCTATAATTGCACTTAATAATGAGCTTAAAGACCACCAGTAGTGAATAGTTAGTTGGACTGTGTTACTTGGCCTGCGGTGTAGATGTTTGTATTTTCAGTGGGTGGGGAGTGTTGGGGGATTTTTTACTGGGTGGGGAGTGTTCGGGGAATTTTATGTGTGTGCATGTGTCTGGTCTCTGGGTGTCTGTGAATTTCATTGTATGGGTATACTGTGTATATACTTACAATGACAATAAATAAATAAAATAAATAAAGTTTATGATGCAACAAGTTTCAGTCACACAGAGCATAGTTCAGGTCTGTTTAAGAGTTTTAAAAGTTGTAATGAGTACAAGTTGCTTTTACCTTTCATCAATATGGTTTCCCTGCTTAGAGATGAAAATATTTTCTGTCTGAACTGCTATAGCATAGAACAGTGGATGAGAACTGCGTAACTTGTAAATAAGGGCTGTTTGCAGTTCGTGGGATGTGGGTTGCATATACCCCTAGTATAACATAGAAGTTATGTTATTGGATTCATAGTGTGATAATAAGCCTCTCTTGAACTTGTGTTTTTCTGTGCTATGTATGTCTTGATAGTAATTCAGATTAAAGGGTCTTATGCCTTACTGTTGACCTACTTGGGTTAAGCATCCCAAGTGTTGGAATGATTTTCCTTTAGGTGAACATAGATGGCCTGTATGTCCTCTTATCAAGCTTGCTGTTTTCTGGAGTAACATCTCTGGGTCATATTTGCTTGGTAGTGAACAAGGGACTTCAGAACTGAGCAAGCTGCAGAACATAGGGTGACAATCTTAGGAACTTTACTTGAGAGTAACATAGTAATATGCCCTTTATGATGTCAAAGCCAGTTGTCCATCTCTTCTGGCATTGTTTGCTATGTCATTAGCTATCTTTTGTTTTGGAGGCAAAAGCCTTTTACATCGCTTCCTACTTGGTTCTTGTAACTGGAAATGCAAGGACTGAATCTTTGGCATTATTCATAAAAAGCATCTGCTATATTACTGAGCCCTGGAAAAACTCTCCAGAGGAGTTAGTAGAACTTCTGGGTAAGTGTAGCTATAATTGTGCTGTCCACAACTTAAAAGAATACCTCTGCAGATTTTGTTTGATCAATCCCAGTGTTAAATTCTCTCTTGCCTTTTCTTGAATTTTAGCATCAAATAAATTCTTAATGTGTCATCTTTATAGTACCTGATTGGTAAAAAGTCATTTGTTTCCCATGGGCCATGTTTCTTACAATGTCTTGTGTTTGGTTGATGGATACAAATGCAGGCATGGATTATGGTGTGTTTGTTTCACATTACCCTGTTTCCCTGAAAATAAGACCTAACCTGAAAATAAGCCCTAGTATGATTTTTCAGGATGCTCTTAATATAAGCCCTACCCCAAAAATAAGCCCTAGATAAGTGAAACCCTGCCCTCCACCATTGTGCAGCGACCAGAAGAAGATGGCACAACTGTTTTTGAATAAATGTAGATTGTTGTACATGAAGAAAATAAAACATCCCCTGAAAATAAGTCCTAAAGTGTTTTTTGGAGCAACAATTAATATAAGACCCTGTCTTATTTTCAGGAAAACATTGTAGATTTATATTCAGACCTTGCTGTATTTTAAAGAGAAGTTTAGTATACTTGAAATGCTTTCTGATTTGAATGTTATCCCTACTGTTTTCTTTGGAAAGGCTTTTATGAAATGAAACTTCATTTATTTCACCTTTTTAATTTCTGTCTAGCTGTTTTTCTCTGGTACACTTTTATTTTGCTAGTACAATAACCATATTTCTGGTTTTGTTTTGGCTTTGTTTCCAAATCCTTTTTCCCCACTAAGCTTACAGCCTTGAATTGAAGTCCTCTCATGTCACTTCTGAGTTCTGTTTGCCCAACATACTGGCCCAGTTAAACTAATGCATTAGAAAATTATAGATTTTAGGGAGATATGCAGAGATAGTGGTGAAATACATCGTAATATATAGGTTTTGTAGAGTCTTACATGTTCGTATAGAAAACTGTTCTATTGTTTATAGTGCACATTTTGTTTATACTGATGACAACTTCATACTGATTATTCTCTGAAGTGGCACTTGACATCCTATGCTGATAATTCATCTGTTGATACTTGAGGCATGGACGTCAGTGGCCACTGAATATAGGATTGGCCTTTAGGGTGGCTATATATTCTAGTTCAACAACTGACTTAGAATGCTCTTATAAGTCCATATGTAGAGCTGTTTTAACCTATAATGTCACTACAGCAATATGGTTTACACAGTGTATACTTCACAGCTGAGGCCTTGGCTTGGACAATATGATAGTGTGGAAGAATAGGGTTATTGAGGTTGGCTGATTTTGCCTTAAACTGGGAACAGAGGAGGTTACTTTCTGGGCTTATCAGGAAATGTTTTGATGTTTGAGAATACCCGAATACATTATTATTTAATTATTATAATAAATTATTATTTATGTGTAGACTGTGTATCATAGTAAATTAAAGAATTTACTACAGTATGTGAAGTTTCTTTTGTGGCATAATACATCTCATAAAATGTATTTTATAATTTTCACCATGATAAGTGCTTGAAGCATAATGCTTAGAATGTTTATTCGGTCACAGAGCTATGCTCCTGCCCTCCAATATCTGTGAGCATTCTCCAACCTGTCAGAATCATTCTACATAGAATTTAACTTTGCAAAGCAACTTTTTAGTGTTACAGCTTTTTGTAAGACTATATTACACGCACACCAAGTCACTGCTGGATATGATTTAAGTTGTTTGGGGCATGATAATATATGTAACTGGCTCAGTAGTGTTACAATGTGTGAAAACAAGTCATGACAGATCTTGAAGTCATATGCTTCGATTTCTCCATCACCACGTGCATGTGATGAGGGTTGCTGAAAACTTTCCAAAAAGTCAGTTACTCATTATGTCTATACTCCTGAACAATATGGGGTACTTTTTGGAGAACAGGGAAATAGTCCTAATTTGTCTTGCGCCCTGCACTCCCACCCCCCACAGCCCCTTCATGCATGCGCATGAGACTGCCCCCACCCCTTTGCGAGTGCACATGAGTGCCCCCTGCATAAGCGCCCCCCGCTCCTTCGTGCATGTGCACGAGTGCTTGCCCACTCCTTTGCACATGCACATGAATGGGAGGTTGCCCCGCCTTCCCCAACCAGTCTGTGGAGTTAAAAAGGTTGAGGACCATTGCTTCAGGTGACACTAAAGGTAATCTGGGTACCACTGGGTCACTCTCAGTGTACTATATTCCTGGAGAAAAGTTCCCATGAAGAGTAGAAGAGAATGCACAAGGCATTAGAAATGGGTGTTTCTCTTGGAACTTAGCTGTCCTTATCCTTTTCTCTTCCCATGGTTACCCAGTGCAGGAAGTAGATGTAGCACTCTGCTTGTAATAAATTAACACTGCAGAATTATTTTTCATCTGCTGTTCTCCCTACCAGCAGTGTTAGTCTCTCTAATATGTTTAGCACTGACCCCTAGTAGTTTCCCAGAAGTCATATCCCATTTCTTCAGATAATATCAGCACCTTAAAGGCACAGCATGGTTTCCTTGACCAAACAGTTCTCTATTTAAAACATTGAATCCTTTCTCCACACACTGAAGCTCAATGTACAGTTTTGTACTTTGTTCTGTTGTTTCCTCTACCAGTAAGTTAAATTAATTCTCTGCTACAGTTCATGCAGTTTATAATTAAATGATTGTGGTAAAGAACAGACAAATGCAAAAAGTGATCATATTATGTTTATTTTGGTATATCGAACAAAATATCCTTTGAAAAGTAAGACTGGTTTGTAAGGATGAGTTCTAAGGTTGTTGTTTTTTGTAGTGGCCCAGGGGTTGGGGACCCCTGCTTTAGAGACTACGTGTCCAGTTATACTACTTTACGCGAAGTCAACAACTTAATTTAAATGGAATAACATGGAGATGTTTGAGGCAATTTGTGGTACCTCCCTACTTTTCAACCTAAGGGACCATTATACTGATCAATTCAGGTTGCCTATGTTAAGGATGCCTGCTTTCATTTTTGTCATAAATCCTTTTAGAGATTTATTGCTGTTGTTTGTTGATGTGATGAATAAGAATAATTGGTCAGCTATGGTAGACTGTAGTTAAGTAGCATATACTGTAACTTGTGATTAAGGCATGCATTTTGTTTTTTTAATACTTGCTATTGAGGCCAGATATTTTTAAATTTTTTAATAGAAATTCATATGAGCAAGTACAGTACTAAAGCAATGTGTGTAATGTTTTCACTTCAGAGTACATTTTGGAGTTTTCTGAAGCATTCCTGTGATATTAGTGATGAAATATAGAATCTAAAAGGTTGAAGTTTGCTGCTTAGTTCTTTTGGATGAAGTCCAAGAGTGTCCATTCACACTTCTGCAGTGCTGACTGGGAAACATATCTCTAGGTTTCAAGTTAGTCAGTCATTTGGAAGAACAGTTGCAAGTACAGTAGTCTAAAGAAATGTTTTTTGTGTTCCTTTGGGATGTAAATCTTGTTCTCATGGTGGAATAATAGTTGGGTGTTCTCCATGCTCATGATATTATATCTGAGGGAGGGACCTCAGCTAAGGTCCTTGCAGGTTTAGATTATGTCATTCCATTCCCTGAAATGTTTTGAGTACACAGAATACAGTCTTTGCCCCTTGTTAATATTTTTAACAGGTCCAAGGACTTTTTCCACACATTTTTGTTGCCTTAAGGAAGCATTTATTGTTTAATTATTGTTTACAGAAGTATTTACCTTTCATAGTTGGAAAAGAAAACTCCAACAATAAAAGTGCATAAACTGATAATGCTATAATGAAATATTCCCTCATTCTATATCTTATTTCGTAAGAGCTGAATTAGTTCAAGCTTTAGTAGAATTAGTAAGCATTTTATGAGATCTTTTGTTGCTTATTTTTAATGCAGATGTATGTGGTATGAGGTCATTTGGATTGTAGGAAGTATTTGATTAAATAGTTTAAAAATCTGTTTCAAAAATATATTATTACAAAATTGACACTTAAAGTATAGCTTAGAAAACCATCAGAAGTCTACTGCCTGAAATATTTATTCTTTAAATAAGTTGTGTGGAAACTGAGGCATGATTAAATCAAAGTAACCACAGAATCCTTGTTACCTCTGTATACCATGGCTTAATCTGTTGTTCAAAGTCTTTGAAAAAGAAACTGAATTTTGTTCCCTCCCCCTTTCCATACTGTTAACAGTTTTCCTAACTTCATGGCTTAGATATTTGCCTCCAGCTGCTGTTCTTGTGAAGTAAAATGCAAAGTTGACTTAATTATCAAATGCATGTAAATTCTTCTTTGGTTCTAGGTAAGGCTGTGTCAGAATCCCAAACTTCAGTTGAAGAACAGCCCACCTTACATACTTGACATTTTACCAGATACCTACCAACATTTGCGACTTATATTGAGCAAATACGATGACAACCAGAAGCTTTCACAGCTCAGTGAAAATGAATATTTTAAAATCTATATTGACAGCCTCATGAAAAAATCAAAGAGGGCTATAAGACTATTTAAAGAAGGAAAAGAGAGGATGTATGAGGAACAGTCGCAGGACAGGTAAGAACTTTTTAGATGTCAATTTAGATTGACTAATCCTTGTCAACATAGTCAATAGTATTTGGATGCTTAACTATTTGACAGCTTAGCTTTTACTCTCTACTAGTGAATTCGGTTACCCTGCAGATCAATCAGTAATTCTTTTGACCTTTTTTCTCTAATAGTCAACTAATAAGTTGATGAAGGGACAGTCTAAAATAATTGTATTCTCTCCAAAGTATTGATTTTTATAGCTTTTAATGCACTATGCCATGCAAATGTGTCTGTTCAGATTTGTTTGCAAATTGTTGGACATTCATGATGCGTGTGGACAAGAACATTTGGAAATGTAAAAGTGGGACATAGTTTGTATTGCCACAAATGTGTCTGGCTATTGCACATTTGGTGTTAGATTTGTGAATCTAATTGAATAACATAACGTCAAGATTCTTAATGAAGTAGAGTTAGAAGTATTTCTTGGAACCATTGTATTTATTGGATTTTTGTTAACTTAAAACCTTTGTTGATATTTGAGAATCTTTCCAGAATTCTACTATGGAGTTGATTTCTTTTTTATGTGAAATAAATAAATGTTAAATCCACAAAATTTGAGAACTGTGAGTTGAGGACATTTATAGTTTTATATATTAAGTCGTAGTGGCAAGAGTACACTTAAGGGTTCTTGCATCTCAGGAATAATCATAATCTTAGCAGTTCAGTTGCTGAAAATGCTAAATTTCAAATCATTTACTGGAGTTTTGTCCTCTAGCTTTTATGTTTAACTCAATAGTTTGCTAAAATAAAATATCTTGTCAGGCTGCATATTAGCTGTGGGAGAAATGTTCTGGCCAACTAGGATTTGTTTACTTGAAAGTGTGTGTACGCCCCAGCAGAGCTGGGATTCCCTGTTAATACTGTATTTTTGCTCCATAAGACACACTTCCCCCCCAAAAAAAGTGGGGAGGGAGTCTCTGCGTCTTATGGAACAAAGGTGGCGATTTCACCCCCACTGGCCCCGTGGGGGGAGCCTCCCAAGGGTCTGAGTGAGTCTTCCAGGACCCTTGCGACGCTCCCCCACCCCCCATGGGGCCAGCGGGGGCGAAATTGTGACCTTCCAGGACCTTTTGTGAGACTTTCAAGCATCACAAAAGGTCCTGGAAGCTGCCGATTTCGCCTGCGCTGGCCCTGTGGAGGGGTGGGGGAGCGTTGCAAGGGTCCGAGTGAGCCTTCCAGGACCCTTGCGAAGCTCCACCCACCCCCCACAGGGCCAGCGGGAGCGAAATCGTCACCTTCTGGGACTCTTTTGAGGCTTGGCAAGCTTCAGAAGAGTCCCTGAAGGTAACAATTTCACAAGGGTCTGAGTGAGCCTTCCAGGACCCTTGGGAGGCTTTCCCCACCCCCCACGGGGCTAGCGGGGGTGAAATTGCCACCTTCTGGGACTCTTCTGAGGCTTGGGAAGCCTCAGAAGAGTCCTGAAGGTGGTGATTTTGCTCCCTTTGGCCCCATGGGGGTGGGGGAGCCTCCCAAGGGTCCGAGTCTGCCTTCCAGGACACTTGGGAGGCTTCCCCCACCCCCAGCGGGGCCAGTGGGGGTGAAATCGCCACCTTCTGGGACTCTTGAGGCTTGGGAAGCTTCAGAAGACTCCCAGAAGGTGGCAGTTTCGCCCCCTCTGGCCTCCTGGGGGGGGCGCTGGATGAGCCTCCAAAGGGTCCTAGGTTGTGTTCCATAAGACGGACCTCTCCATAAGGCTCACCAAATTTTTAGGAGAAGAAAACAGATTTTTTTCCCTGTTTTCTTCTCCTAAAAATTTGGTGTGTCTTATGGAAAGGTGCGTCTTATGGAGCGAAAAATACAGTAACTCAGTGGTTTCCAACCTTTTTTGAGTTGTGACGCCCTTTTATAGTAGCCAAGTAACCTGCAACACCACCACCACATTTGCATTGTCATTGTTTTCCAACATGGCGATACCCTCAATACTGCTGTATTTCACTCTCCTGCTGGTCCTGCTGCTGACTTCACCACCACTTCACAACTGGGGAGGGAACAGGCTGTGGGAGGTTAAAGGTAGGAAGAAGAGAAGGCAAAGGACTTCAAAAATGGGCCTAGGGGTGGAAGGACATTGTAGTATCTAGGGAGAGGCAAAACCTTCACACAGAGAAGATCCCCCTCAGAAACTGGCACAAAGCTTTCCTTGCGCTTGCTGCAGAAGAGGTGGATCATTTGTTTTTGTTTCCCTCTTCTGGGGGTTTGTTGTACAGGGGATTTTTTTTCTTTTTCTTCCCCCCCCCTTTCTTTAAGCTATCTAAAAGTGATGCTTCATATTTAAAATCCCTTTCTTGTTGAAGCAACAGCAATTATAGCTTTATCTTGGCTTTTCTTTTCTTTTGTAAAGAATAGTCACAATCTTCCCTTCTCAGATAGTAAAGGCTTTTTTGCCCAACAAAGGGTGTCTGTTTCTCATAAGTACACATACATACTTGTTAATTTTAATATC